AGTGAAGCTTTCGCATATGGCTGCATTCTGTGTAATATGTCGCATGCTATCATTCGCGTGGAATCTTTTTCTGCCTTGGTATGCACCTTCGCGTGTGCCCTTTGTAGTGGGTGGCCGGCTTTAAACCATGAAGGTATTATGATAATCGGATGTTTCGACGCGCTATGTGAATGTATACGCTTGTGCCACGCATTATTACTGCGGTATTGCGTGTTATATACTGAAGTATTTGTACAGGATGCGTGTGTTTGTGAAGCGTGAAAGTTAATGTCACTGCATTTCCGAGGAAGTTATTTTCATTATATTTCTCCGAGAAGACGCGTGGCTGGGTGGTAGAACACTGCGGGGTCTCGATGTGGAGACAACGCCGCCACGCTCTTGGAGTGAACGAGCACAGTAGACGCGGTCGGAACGAACCAAACAACACACATTTATTTAACTACTTTTAGAACGACGATATCATCAGCCGAATGAATATAGGTACATCGATTGCGATCAGCACGCTAAACAACCTTACTCAACATTACACGAAATTGAACAACATAACAAACACAAGAACACATTCAAGGCGGCGTCACCTACGCTTGACTTACCACGAGGGCCAACCGCAGACGGCCCGCGGTGCCGCCTACGGCAGACCCACCGCTATACAGAGAACCGGTCGCGCTAACCGCCACCTGCCAAAAAGGTATAGGTGGTAGTGGTTAGAAGAGGAGAAAGGCACCTAATTTCTGCAGCCCGATCGGGAGAACAGCGCAGTGCCTGCCAAAAAGGATTGCTTCTCTCTCCTCTGCCACCACCAAGGCTTTCCGCGAGGCGTCACCGCCGGCGCTACCGTTCTAACAGCCATGATGATGATGATGATGGTGGTGGTGGTGATAAACGCTCGCGAGCACAACGCCACCTAGCGCTCGGTAGTCGTGAACCCGAAACGCGGCCTGTGCGCGAAACACGTGCGCCACGAGGCGCAAACAACTTTACAGGGGTGATAGCACCCCCCCCCCCCCCCTACAACCCCTGCTTGCCGCGCAAATGGTCCGGGTTCGATCCTCAGTGCAAACCAGAATTCGTTATTTATTTTATTACCATTTTTCTCGCTTTTTCGATCACGCACAAAATGATTTTTCGCTCGCAACCAACGACGCCAACACCGAAGCCGGAATTTCTGCGAAACGAACTCTTACCGCGTTAGTAATAGTAATAGGCAGAAGAATAAGAAGAAAACTGAAGAAGAGTGTAAATTGCACATAACGGATAAGGAAGCTTTTTTTTTTTTGTTCACAGACACGGACGCTTAATCTTCCCGCGTTGCATACGTGTTGTAGCATAGGAGACGCACGCGTAATTACGAATATGAATAAATATACTGATGGTGCCTATCAAGCCTGACGACTATCGTCATCGTTGCCTCGAGGCTCAAGATAATCATTATGTCCGACGTTATCACATAAACCAGATTATCCACTGCTTAAACGAAAAAAAAAACTGACCGTGGGCTTAAATTTTTTTTCAGAAATATTCTAACTCTAGACAGTTAAGCACAACGCATTACGTTTTAATTATGCCCCTGCTTCGCAACTCCGTTCTCCAGACAGCTCTTACACAATAGCCCCTTTTTAAAAAAGGTGTAGCTGCAGCTTTTAGGTTCGTTTTTTTTTTTCCTCAATGGCTGCCGTACCATTATGCTTAGAATACAGAGCTGCACCAGGTGTTGTTAAGTGCGCGTGTACTCGAGCAGGATTGCACGGCCTCTTCTCTGCATGCACTACAAGTGAACTCGGCACAACGATCTGTGCCGGGTTTCGTGGCTCGGCCGTTGTCCTCAGCCGTCAGTTCAAAAAACCGCGCAACGACCCACCCGAGCGAATAGCGCGTGTTCTTTCAGCGTCTGCATCTAACGCGGCCGTAGCACATACGGGCAAACAATCACGACGCGTTGGCACGAACGCGAATGACGTCGAAGTACGTCGTCATCGCTCGCTTGCGCGCAAATACCGCACACGCTGAAAGGGTCGGTGCACGCGAGGCCGTTTTGATACGTCGTATACACCTTTTCACAGGAAGGAAAAAAAACACCGCCATGATGGGCTGTGCGCGGGAGTACAAAGGCTAAGGGCGCAGCGTTGCCAGTGGATTTTCGAGGCGACGCGCCAATTTGCACAGCCCAAGGAGGGCTGTGGCGGCGCCCAGGGAGGCGTTTATGAAAAGGTGAATAGTTTTATGCGACGCGGCGTACAGGTGATGATTATGTCCATCAATGGTTCACACCCAACGAGGTTTAAACAAGGAGGATTTTTAAAAAATCGCTGGAGTGGAATTGATTGCCCAGGAGTGAAGCCGTTCCTCTGGCAAGATGGCGGCTGCGGCGGCCATCTTACTAGGGGCATGATAAAGTATCGTCGTTCGGCGGTTAAAAACGAAGCGTTTCCCTCGCACGCCGAACAAGTTTAATGTGGGAACTTTTTTCGGGACACATAGTGCTCCTAGTGCGTCCAAAAGTTACTAGTTTTCCTTAGTGAGCATCTAATTGGAAGCAAAGTTCTTTGAATATTCAGTCATCCATAGTCGTTTCTTTGGGTTATTTCGTCGGGACCAACTATCTTTTAATATAAAACTAACGTAGTATCTACATAACATATGAAAGCCATTGATCTTTAAGTGGGCACTATCAGAAAAAGAGCATGTTTCCGCCATCTTGGCAGTGGAAAAATGTAGCTTCACTTCTTCAGGCAAGGCATTGCGGGAGCTTCCACTCCAGCAATTTTTCTTTAATCCTCCGTGGGTTTAAAATGAAAATGCTATAGAGTGGAAATTCCGTCCCGAAAGTGAAGCCAGACCTCCGCCATCTTACCTCTTACGCGATAAAACGTTAGTTTATAGAGCGAAGGTTCATCAGTCGCGACAAATAGGCTTTCAACAACAACCGCGGTCCCTTACCAGATATCATCGTGCATAGTACGGAGAACGTTACATCGAAGACTTTGAGGTACAACTAGTAAATAACGTGCACAGATGTTCACAGGGACATATGCGACTAGCAGTGGACCGAACGACTGTGTAATTTTTGTTGTATTTTTGTTGTCGGGGGAAATCTTTTAGAATCATGAATTCGCGTGGCTTTTGGAACATTTTTTTAACAATTTTGCTGCAAAGAAAAGGTAGCGATTATTCGCGTACACACGGTGAGTTTCAAGACGGGCAGCTCTATTCAGACGGATGGCTGTTTGTACGTTAGTATTTGCCAATTTTGTTCGAGATCACGGTACCAATACTCATCCCGATAAAATACCTTCGTCGGGAATAGCAAAATTTTATGCTATAGTTAACGTATGATTTACGTTAGCAGATTAGCGACACTTTACCGCTGGTCGGGCATCATTCGAAAAAACCACGTTTTTAGGTAAACCACAGGTAAAGGCTAGCTTTACATATGCTGCCTAGTCGCGACAGCATAATCATGTCGTAGTTTTCATACTTAACCTCCCTCCCCCCACCAAAAAAAAAAAAGAAGAATGCTTCCACTACAACATTTTCTTGCTAACTTCGTGCTCAAACCCATTCCGGCCTACTGTCTAAAAACGAATGATTTATTTGTTCGTGTGCATTACCATGCTGAAGGGAATTTTTCGAACTACGAAAATGCTCTTGCAACTGGAATTTACGAATTTTGAACAAAATCACATTGATTCACTGTGCTCGTCGTCATTATCATCATTATCGTTATTGTTTGAAGCAGTCATGACTTACGCGCCTGCCAGATATTGTGATGCGCCTTTAGTCTTTCCATTGGAGACAATGTATCATCGACCCTCTTTCATCGACCTTCTGTGACAGTTTATAATGTCGACAATTTTTGAGCGAACTCTGCGAGTCTCGCGTTCAGGCTTTTCTTGTATAGCTGGGCACCTTACACTGGTAATTTGTATATAAACTGTAATTTATCGCGTGTTAACAGCACTGGCTCATGCTGGCTGACGCTAAATATATAGTTTTGTGTTGTTCAGCGACTTAGGCACAGTAAAAAAGAGATGTCAAAATGAACAATAGATTTGATTTCTGCGTAAAGTGTTAAGAGTGACGGGAAAATGTGTGTCCAACGATCATGGTCGACTGGCCCATTGACCAGGCCTGAGACTTATGGCAGCAAAACTTGTGAGAACTGCACTTATGACAGTAGTATTCGCCTTCTTCAATATCAGGTTAATTACTTAATTACCCACCGATGTTACGAAATAACGAATAAATAACTTCGATTTGTACGGATAGAAACACCGCCGGGACCTGTAAGTGTGGCACTACATCTATCGCGGTACTATACCACTCGTTCCCATTCAGGTCTTTGCAATCCAACTATAGACGGTCAATATGTACAGCCTTCACTATTTGTGGAGTAATCTGGCTACTCATCATGTTCCGGTCTGGTGTCATTGCCATACGGCCCAGAGGGGCAGTGAACTAGCCCACGTCTAAACTCGAGAATTTTCCGACCGAGCTCTGCCCCCACCGGCCACCAGGAATACATGCTCCATGGAGGTCTTGCCTACCGATGAGGTGACACGACAAGCAGTCCCAGAGGGACAGCGTCTAGATCACGGAACTATAGCACCATTTAACGAAAAACCGAATAAGCAACAAGTGTAGGAATGGCCTCAATTAGAGACCAACACGTATCTTCATTCACACAATACTATCCAAACAGATACGTGCACCTGTGTTGGTGCGGAGTCACTTGAGCACCACCGCATATAACATAAACCTGCCGCGAGAGGCCAGACTCGATCGATACTGGCCACACACTACAAATACGAACGTGGCTGTGGGAGGCGCCACGTCAGGATCTGTTCCTGAGAACCAGCTGGTCCTGGGTCAGACCTGGCGAGTCTCTGCGACCCTGAAATAGGGGTGCCTCGCACTCAGTGATACGCCAACTAATTTGTACCATTACAGTTTGTTCTCTATAACCAACTCCACTAAATTTGTCTATCTTCCCTCCTGTCCAGGTCTGTGCCTGATCGAGTTGGTGACGTGGCAGCGCCCCTGTCCGGATTCGTTGTACGCCTGCCTCTACCGGTGGGCGGGAGAAGCGGCAGCCTTTGCGGCCGGCTGGTTGTCGCTGCTGCACCAGGGAGCCGCCGTCGCTTGCGTGGCGCGTTTGCAGAGCAGCGCCATCGACGCCCTCAGCGGCGGTGCATTAGCTAGGGCGTGGCAGGTGAGACTACAGTGTACCGAAGAAAAAGGGAAAAAGAAAGACTTGCTCTGACATTGGAAATTTCCGTTCGCGAGAGTGGTGGAGGGATTTTCTGTTAGAACGCCCGACACCACCACTGTACCGTTGGCGATGTGGCCATCTGCTCGCTATCACTCGCATTAGGTAAACCTTTAATCGAAGTTGAAAGTTCAGCACGTAACGTGTCTGTATACGTGAACTTTCTAAGTGTGAAGTATACGTTCGTAATAACAAGGAGCAGAAGTAGCTGTGTGCAGCTGTTGCGATCAAAATCGGAAGGGTCTTTCGTTACGCACGGTTCATTCGAGCCGCGCACTGCATGCCTATACAATGCATACAACTTATGAATTGAGTCTTAATAAACGGCAGGGAGGTAATCGACAGGGAGGAACAGTTAGAAGCGAAGCGAGCGCAACCCGGTCCCTCTCCCCTTTAACTGGAACCTATGCAGGTTATGTACAACGGCGCCTTGACAAAGACGAGCAATGCATACAAACCTTGCCATCTCTCGATTAAATCGAAAAGTAAAGCGAGCAGAGTATGGCTTAAATGAGTTGTTAGCTCCCAACCTTTTGCTTCCTACTCCTTCTGTCTTTCTCGAGTCCGTGTTTCTTCTTTGAGCAAACACGTATCCCTTCGGAAAGTCGTGCTTACACTGTCATTTTCCTTCGTCACTTATCCTTTCAATGACAGGCCCTCGGTGCGTACGACCCCGTAGCCCTGGCTCTGGGCCTGGTGGCGGCCTCTGTGGCAGCCGCACCCAGACTGCTGTCCTCCTCCCGTGAGCCGACGTGGCTGGGCATGGCCCTCATCGTGCTGTCGCTGTTGGCGGCGCTCTTCTTCGTCGCCATGGGATCCGTGGGGGCGACCGCTGCTCCCGGAAACTCTTGGAGCTTGGCCATGTTGGTGCTCAGCGACAGCGCACCCACTGGGGTAAGTTGAGCGCAGAAGCGGATAAATCACTCATACTTTCGCGCCTTCTAATAGCCGCTCCAGATGTGTCTTTGTGAAAACACACATAACAGCGAATCAGGCAGTGAAAGAAGGGAAGCCACGATACTGTTTCCAAAAGTGATCACCTGAGAACTCCACCTCAAGGGAATCTGCATGCGACTCTTCATTTTCAGTTAACTTGTAACGCCCGAAACACGACAACGACGACAAAGAATCACACACGGACGTGTGTGTGTGGTTCGTGTCGTGTGATGTCTGTGTTGTATTTTACGCTGAATACGACGAATGAACGCCAACCGACCTGGCTGTCAGTTAAGTTACGTCTATATTCCCCAAATTTTATCTCCAAGTTTCCATGTTACTACAAAACTTAGCCCTGTTTGGTATCTCTGCAAATTCACATACCTTATAATATACACACAATATGCAGTAAGAAAATTGAGGTCTGCGTCACATCACGCCCTTTTGTAGTTTACAGAGTTGTCGTACAGCTTGTACATTTGTGTTCAATAACCTATATGCAGTCACCTGTCTTACTATCTCTTTTTTTTTCGATCCTAGCTCTTGTCCGGTGCGGCCCTCTGCACATACGCATTCATCGGTCCGCATACGGCACTGCGGCGCGCTCCCGACAGCCCTCAGCCGTGGCGAGACCTACCCCTGGCACTGGGTCTCAGTACGGCGCTCACGTTCCTGCTCACATTCGCCATGGCCGTCGTGGTCACCATCCAGGCGCGCCACGACACGGCCCGTCCGCTGGCCGCCATGCTGGCTTCCTGCTCGGCCGAGTGGGCCGGTACCGCCATGAGCGCCGCCTCACTCCTGGCACTCGTTGGCCTAGCCCTGTACGGACTGCTTCCTTTAGGCGGGGCCGTCAGGTCACTAGCCGCCGACGGACTCCTATTCCGCGGTCTGGCCAAGACGTCCAACACCGGCCGACCCGTGGGTTCGATCCTGGCCGCCGGAGCCTTGGCGGCCTTCGCGGCGCTCGTGGCGCCCGTACCCAGGCTCCTGGGCCTCATGGCTGTCGGGCCTCTGGCCCTAAACACGGCCGTGTGCGTAGCCTTGCTCCTAGCCCGCTACCATCCGGCCAGCCGGACCGCATACGACCTAATAGGCGACGAGTCGCCGCCGGCTAAGGAAGGCTCCGCCACGGGCCACGGCGGCGGTGGCAGCTCGGGACCTGCGTCGTCGACGACTTCCCCAACATCCTCGGCTTCTTCTTCGTCGTCCGAGGACGAGGAGGACATCGACGCCCTGGTGCGCGAGTACCGCGAGCGACTACGCGTGGCGGCGCTGACCGACAGACTCGTGGCCGGAAGCGGCGGCAATTCCCTGCGCGAACCGACGTCGGCGACAGCGCGCCGAGCGGACCTGGCCGTCTCGGGCGTCGTCGCGGCTCTCGTGGTTCTCTCGGCGGCCATGGAGGTCGGCTCGAGACTCGAGGGTCGGGCGGCCTCCGTCTGCGCCGTGATATCGACGTTGTGCGCGATCGTGGTGGCAGTGCTCCTGGTGCTACTGTCGCGGCAGCCGCAGGCTCAGTTGAGCCTGCTGCACGCGGGAGCGGCCTTCCGCGTGCCTATGGTGCCCTGGCTGCCCTGCATCGGGGCCTTTCTCAACGTCTGCCTCCTGATCGACCTGCTCGTATCGGCCTGGCTTGTATTCGTCTGCTGGCTGGCCGTAGGTCAGTGTCTAGTCGCATAGATCGTTGTTAACCTCAGATGCTGCTCACCCAACTCATCGTTGGGACGCTCTGTCGAGTCAGCAAAAATAATTAACTATAACTTAAGAAGACACAGAGGACTATGTTGTAATATCGGCCATTCGTTCAGCTATGACTGGTCGGGCTTGAGTAGTGGGAGACAAGGGCTGGTATGGTCCGATGGGCAGTCAACTGCCCCTTTTGCCAGCGTCCATGGCCACAACCTTTCCCTCAACATAATTACCAAGAGGTCCGACTGAATTAAAGTACGGGACAGACTTGGCGCCTTCCTTAGATTACTATAGTCATCTAAGTGTCAGAGGAAAGGAAGCGTCTCTTAGCCTATATGCCATATGCCGCGCAAGCCTATATGCAGTATACCACTGAAATCGCTGTACAACTAGCCTCCCACTGCATGTCCTCCTCATCGCAGGCGTGGCTCTGTACCTGCTGTACGGCATCCACAGCTCGACGGCCGCCTCGGAGATCCCGCTGCCAGCAGCGCCTGCGGTGGGCTCGCCCCGGCAGCCATTGCCGAAGATCTCGCTGCAGCCGCTGGCGCTGCAACCGCACAGCATCGTGTCGCACATAGTGCCCTCTCACCGCAGTCACCCGGGCAGCCAGCGGAGGCTCGCCGAGCTCGACACTGTCTTCATCCAGCACTGATCCGGCGAGGCTGCCGCACATACGCCTCGACAGGTTAGAGTTGAGTCTCGCAGTAGGGTTGACAGGCGGGCTAGTTGGTACGAATGCATAATGGAATAATTGGAAGCGCAAACTAACAGGACACAAGAGAAAAGACAAACAAGCGCTTGTTTGTCTCTTCTCTTGTGTCCCGTTGGTTTGCGCTTCCAATTATTCCATTATGAGAGTTGAGTCTGTTGCCTCACACTTTGAGCTGTCGTGTATTAAGAGCATTTCCGCCACAAAGCTCCCATTTATCGATGGTAATTAGTCGCTACAGTCGGACCCAGTTATATTTAACTCGCAAAAAAGCTGGAATTAGTTCGATGTAGCGCAGAATTCAATATAATATAAAGCCTTTGAAGAATTAGCCCTATTACCTGCGCGACTTTTGTTTCTGGAGTCGACTTCTCGGCACTACTTCAGGATAATGCAAAAAGAAAAGGCGGCTTCACGGCAATGTGCAGTTTTTTTTTTTTTCCTTTCTTGGTTTGTACGTTGTTCGGGATTGGCGAGACCACTAGGTACGCAGACTCCTACGAGCCCGATTGCCCGGATTGTGGAGATCTCTTGGGCAGGGATTGGCGCATTGTCAGGCATTTAGTTGCATTTTCACCACTCCCTTCCCATTAAACCATGGGATAAATATGTATGCTTTAATGATGATGAATAAACTTCAAACTCTTCTGCACTTTACAACACGTGCTCTCTGGCGATGTCCCTCGTTACGGCAAAGCGATCGGCTCATCACAGAAGCAGAGTGGGAAGAGGTTATCAAGAGCTCCGACTACGGGCCGTCCAGAGGGCGCACAACGCGACGGTCAGGCACCGCCCGCCCATTCCGACGTGAGAGCTGCCCGCGGCGACTCCTCCCCCATAAAGGGACTTTCCCAGTCGCCCCTCAGGACCTCAATAAAGTTTAATGTCTGTCTGTCTGTCTTGGTTCGTAGTTTGAGAAGCCAATTGCACGTGAAAAAATACCTTGTTGACGTAAACAGTGCCTCAACATCATCATATCATACACAGCTGCGTGTACCGTCCGGCACTGGAAGCCTCTAGTCTACATTGGTCGTAATGGTGGCCTCGTTCTTCAACATCGTACAATCAGCTGGGATCGTGTACACAGCGGCAACGTCATACTTCTCTACGTTATGCTGTGTTCATTCTCGTCAGCTTTGTGTAGAACAGCAGGTTCTTCCGTTTCACGGCAGCCGAGAGTCGAGAATCATAGTAGTTAAGCGAACGGCGACGGGAGCGAAGCGAATGGCGAACACGCGCGACAGGCCGATGGGCGTCACTACAAAGAATCATGGTAGAAAGTACGCGATGGCAAGCCGTGCTTCCTACTCGCTCTGCATGGTATTCTTCTAATCACACCGTTGGCTCTCCAAAATGCGTGCAGGAGGAGGAGGAGGAAAAAACCTTTACTGATGCTGGCTGTGTCAGATAGCCCTTATCCCCACCAAGCTGGTTGACATCCAGGAAAGTCCCCTCCCGCGAGGAAAGGCTAACTTCTTGGAGACCATAGACTGTCGCGCTGTCCATGGTTCGACGTACGCGATTTTCCGGCTATTTTATCGGCGAAGCTGTTCTTAGTCGTGGCTTTCACGCCCGGCGACAGTCGTAGATCATAAATGGACATGTGCCAACACTACCACCACTCTCCCACAACTCACATCTACTAGTCAGTCAAGTTCCCACTTCACTCATCCACTTCATTCAAATCCCACTTCATTCAAATTCCACTTCATTCAAATCCCACTTCATTCAAATCTCACTTCATTCAAATACCACTTCATTCGACCAGCTAAAATAATTAGTGAAGCAAAGGCTTCCTTGGAAGCCATCAGCTTTGCTGTTTTATCAGTGTCCACCGAGCGGACCTGGCTGAACTTTTTTTTCTCCGTGTAGCCCTAAGCTTACTCATTGACAACAAAGCATAATCGTTTTCAAAAATGGTTCGATATAAATAGCATTTCAATTTACCAAAGGTGGATATGGTCGCGTTCAGCTGTATACGATTACCAAATGAAAGCATGCGTAAGCCACTCGTGGTTTGCTGCAAGGCCTGGTGTTTGCTTGGCCTTCAACGTGTCTCTTGTCTTTCCCGCGCAGAGCACAAAACGAAACCGACCCGCTTCGTCACCGGTAAAGATGACCGGGGCGGTCTTTCTACCTTCCGAGGCCTCGGCAAAAACGTCCTCCGGCTAAAAGACGCCAGGGACGTAAGGACGTACGAGGACCACGCTCCCCGCAGTCCTGGCCGGAGGGGACAACCGACAACGCCAGGAACCCGCTCAGCCTCCCCACGACTGCCTGCCGCCGACCAGCAATAACCGAGGAGAGCGTACCCCCTCAACGGGGAAGTGGGGGACGCGAAAAGAGGCCGAATCATCGTCGTGTTTTCATGTTTTGCCGTCGCGAACAGTGCCGTCCGAATAGTGCATGTACATTCATCATTCGGGCTCTTGGAGGACGACGTCAGTGCAGCGGGACTGCCCCACGGCTACATACATAGTCGCGTCGCTCACTATACACGTTGTAAGACCGTTCGCGCTGTCCCGTCCGAGACATAAGCACACAGACACACACGGACAAACATGCATATATGAACACACAAGGTCGTTATTACAGTTGGAAGTACAGAAAGATACACATACACACAACTAGGCGTCGTTATTACAGTTGTATGTAAAAGAAAATGACAATTTAAGTGAAGGTTCACGAAACGGGGACACAATCAGACGCGAAGGACAAAGTTCGGTGATTTCTGATGAATGCCGGGACTATCTATTTAGCTCTGCAGCTGCGGCGTTCGAAGAGTGTTCCTGAAGTGAGTCAAAACGACAACAAAAAAGGATGTACGAGAAAGACAGTCGTGCCCTCGTTGTTATGAGGTCATCGCGATGAGAGAGAGAAAAAAGAAATGCGAGCGCTCGTGCATGGCTGCACGTCTTTCCTGTGTTCGTTTTTTTTTTTTAGGGAGGTGTAGTATACGCTATGTTTTGGTTCGTCATTTACCATCGAGACTCTCTATCTTTCTTGTGCTCCACTTCATGCGTTTTAAGCGAGCCAGCCGAGTTTCGCGTCTCCATTTAGCGAAAGGCGGCAGTAACGTCTTCGTAATTCGCCCCTTTTCGTGTTCACGTGGCACCCTCTGCCGTTCTGGAAAGGAGTGCGGATAATTGCGTGGTACACGGCGTCGACAGAACCAAAGCCTGCAAGATGTGAAAACGTGCGGAGACCATATCGTGGCCTCCGAGATTAGCCGGCGGCGCGAATCTCGGCATGCGGAGACCATATCGAGGCCTCCGAGATTAGCCGGCGGCACGAATCTCGGAGGCGACGACCTTACCGATTAGCTTTGTGACATTCCCGCTAGGGGAAAGGACACACGCGCTGTGGCACCACTAGGGTGCCTGAATGGTTTCCCTCGCCCGCCGCTCAGCGGCGGGCGAGGGAAACCATTCAGGCACCCTAGGCACCACGAGTGCGGCAGCGCTGCCGTCGCATGTCGTCAAATCAACTGACGTTAAACGGCATTCGCACGGTCGAGCTTCCTACGGTTACTCTTTAGACAGTATTCATTCAAAGACGCCAAATTCGACGACAAGGAACAGTAAAGTGTTCGCCTGTTCGTTTCGCCTATGACTGTTTACGAACTCAAAGCTTGCCCGTGAACTTGTGACGACGGGGGAAAGACCGCCCTTAATTGGGGTTTTAGAATTGAACGCACTTGCATTCAACTCATCCGGCCCAAGTCCCATTTGGCGATCCTCAGTGCGATCCCGCTAGGTCCTGGGTTCGATTCCCAACTGTGTGGCAGCTGTAAGGACTCTCGTGCAGAAGCGCGCGTAGCTTCATTTGGACAGAAAGTCGTGCGGTTAATCTACTCTTGAATGTCCACTAACGGCGTCATTCGCGTACAATAAAACCGGTTATAACCAGGTGTCGTAACCGTCCGTCACCGACAACGTCCATCGGCGCCCAGCAACGACGGTGAAATCTTAGTGTATTACAAAATTCGGCCGTTGGGTATTATACGCGCAAGTACGACGTAGTTCGGGACGAAAGGAATTCGAACGTTCGTGCGATGCAAAAAAAAAAAAAATGAATGAAACGTATCTGGCAAACGGCTATCGCGTGAACGCAACCCGTAAACTTTTCCGAGCCTGCGCGAAAAAAAAAATGCTATTTCACCGCGTTCTCTTCTTCAACGGCTGAAGTCGTTTCGCTTCGCGAACTATATATATATATATATATATATATATATATATATATATATATATATATATATATATATATATATATATATTGCAAAGTGACAATCGCTGTCGATCGACGCTGGAAGAAGAGGTTGGGAGATGGGGGCGGGGGCGGAGTGTTGTTGCTATGGTGGGCGTAAAGCGCAAAGTTCGTTTCCTTTTTCTTTTGTTTTTTCATTCGCGATGAAAACGGAGGAATGTTCAATTTTATAACGGAACCATTTTCCTAGCTTTCATAGATTCGTCGTGCATACACACACAAGCAAACTTTATGGCACCTCGGCGGAACGATTTCCTCCCGACCGATGATCGTTTTTTTTTTTTTTCAAGATATACACTTTTCATATTTCTTGATAATCACTCTCCTCTACAGCTCATTTTCTGGAAATCGAAAAAGCGACCGGAATTAACTTTTCTTTATGAGGCAGGACTTTTACAGTATATTTATACATATTCCTTTAGTTCGCTTGCACGATCGGTTTATTCCGTGTTTCCATACTTATCTATACTTATATAATTCTCTCTCTCTATCTCTTTCTTTCTTTTTAATTTCGTAACTCCACCGAAATCGATCTTGTCTCAGTTTGCTGGTCTTAAGCTATTCTGGGCCGACGAAAATCGTCATATTAAACAACAAATGTGCAACCGTGAACGCTGCAAGTCAACCTAGTGATTTTACAAAATGCGAAGAAATTTCGATGACCAAAAAGCAAGAAGAATGGCGCGAGCTATCAGTGCCAGATCTAAAGCATCGTATATTCAGCGCAAACCGCTCAGTTTGCGCATCCAGACAAGAAAAAAATGCGATTGCGCTATGGCAGTTCCGTTTCACCCCCCCCCCCCCCCCCAAATCGACGCACATCAAACTACGATAACCACCTCGTATTCCTACATTCCAATCTTTCTTTTTTCTCTTTTTCAATGTAGAGCGGGGACTAATAACGATCATTCTTTATCTGTCTATTATAGGAGTTAAGCGCGTTACTACATCGATTTGTGACCGACAATACCACTGGAAAAACGACTCTCTTTCACCATTGTTTTTTTTTCCCCTTATCTTTCCCTTCCTATACATATTTGGAAGACCTCTAATTTCCCCTCTACCTTTTCAGGCTTCATTGTTAGTTTTCATTAAGGCTGTGTCTAACGAAGAAAAACGAGCCCTTAATTCTCTTATTTCGTTCCTTCCTATCTCATAAGGCGACATATCTGCAGGCTGTGCGGTATGCGGACGACAGTCAGATAACAGATAACGACAGTCAGATAACGTACTTTCTCAAAGCGGCGACATCGGCGGCGCAAGAACGCCGCTTCGTTGCGCACAAAGTCGACTTCCCCGGCCGCTTGCTCGCCGGCTCGAACATCCGCTGTGGTTGGTGGTCTACACAGAACACCTCTTTGATCGGGTACGCCTCAGAGAAAGAGAGAGACGGAGAAAGACCGGACTCCGGAAACAAAGACCCGCCGCGGTATCCGAGAACGGAACGATAGACCGACGTCCACCTACTATCTATACATTTACTCCATTACCTCTCTCTCACTCTTTCCGTCCTCCCCTCTCTCTTCCTACCCATTTTCAACCTTCGACTTCCATTCTCCGAAAGTGCCCAAAGCGACGTACTGCCGGATCAATTTCGCTACGGCGCGGTGGAGACCGTTATATTTGACGCTCCGATAACGTAATACACCAGTCGTCTACTTTACTTATTACAAGATCCCCCTTTTTTTCGCGTTCCTTTCGTAAGGGAACAGTCGTTCCCGCGGGCTATAGCTCTGATTTGACATGTCAATAGATTCGCCAAACATTCACCACTGTTGCAGCAGCGAATAAGAAGTAAATTCGAATCGTTCCCATGGTTCGGTCGTCGCGCAGCTTAGGTCTGCTTTTTTTTGTTCATTCACCACTGGCCGATACTCTATTCTTATTTTTTTTTTTAGTATTCCTTGCTCAATTTTCCAGCCCTCGTTATCAGATTCGGTGCCCCCGAGAGTCGTTTTTTTCATTCCTGCCACATTTCTGCGGCGCCGGACAGAGAAAGAAATAACTGTTGATCCTATGTAGCTTTTTATCTTTTTTTTCCGATTGGTTCGCTACCGCAGCAATTTCTCTACCCCATGGGATACGATGTTCGGTCTTTAGTACAGGTGTGTGCTTTCAGAAATTCCGTGCACCACAGTGCACAGTGAAACCTCGATATCGAAGAGGTTTCCGTATGACCAACGCTTACACCGTGGGTATAATTTCGAATTAGCAGATAGCAACAGACATGAACGAACTTGAATGCACACTAAATACAAATATTGAGTCGACGTTGATTGTTGAAATAGCGGTCCAGAAACCTCATAGTGCTACTTCTGTACCAAGAAAGTGCTTGTTTTGAAATAAGTTACGTTTTACGGTCCGCATCGCGTTAGTGCACTTCAAATCACCCGCCTCAAAGCGGTCTTTTTCACGTCACTGTTGCCGTGCCCAACGATGCCCGCCTTCACCGCGCGGCCGCCGACACTATTAGAAGCTTAACGAAAGTAGTGGGAGCCACAGCAGCAACAACGGTTACTAAATTTTCTGTTCGCTATCGAGCCCCATAGATGGCAGGACCTGCCCAACCTAACCAAGCGAAAACGGAAATTTTGAACCACGCCATTCCCCATAGTAACACCAGGAGGTTTTGTTTTTTTCCTCTCTATAAATCAAACACTAACGAACAAGCAGCACTTTATTACGTCGCTAAATGCTCGGAAAGTACCTTTTCTTGTTTATTGCAGCTAGTTTTGATTACTGGCGAGTAATTGTAGTCGCACGCTCTCACATCATCGAGATCATTTAAAAATTTCCCGCTAATGGCGCGCGTCGTATGATACATTTAGCTTAATTTTCCAGTAGGTAGGACAGTGCTGTTGATATTGCCGTTTTAAACGTTGCCATACATTGAGCTTTCACTCTGACAATTCATTTGCCTTCGGTGTCCTCGAAGAGACCGTATCGGCATAGAAATATGAGAGCCTGCGTAGTTCGGCAAGCACTTGAACAGCCAGACTTGCCGCTTATACAAAGACGATTCGCTCTCGCACAAGAACGATGAGCATGCAAACAATCTGCTTACTTGTTCCCGATGCTCCACTTGTGGCTTCAAAATTCTATTCCAATACTGCGAAATACTAGAATTGGAGCACCGCGTGCGGTATTATTCTATGAAAACGGCTTCTCAATACTTCAAAACTATTCGAGGGGTATTCGAAAAATCGTTTCGATTATGGCACTATTCGGTTCTGCCTCAAAAGATCACTATTCGCGCAGTTCTATAATTTAAGTTCGCAAGAGAGGGCGCAACTTTGCTGCTTTCTTTCAGCTCTATTTTCCGTGCTTTCTTTCTTTTCTTTTAAGTTTACTCTCGTTTATGCAACATCTGTCGATTCATCGTTCGCGCACTCTTTTTTTTTTTTTTTACCCCCGACACCAAAGAATGTTTGATCAATGGCACGTGTTTTGCTCCACTCCACCGAAAAACGGGGGCACTTTCAATTCGCTCAAGGAGCGCATTCTGTATCCCTGCATACCAGTTTTCGTCCTTTTAAACGCATATCCTGTTACTCTTTAAAGTGCAGCCACGTGTGTCAACGCAGCTCTATACGAAATATTCTTCGCTCCCCCCCCCCCCTCTCCCCGCCCGCTTTGTC